GGCTGGCTGGCTGGCTGGCTGACTGACTCGCACTGCAGATGGTGCGGATGGAGTGAGGGATGCTGAAGAAAGGAGAGAGAAGTGAGGGATGTTTCAGAGAGAGGAGAGGATGCTGGCTGCAGAGAGGGGATGGGGAGGATGCTGAATCTGCGATGAATGCAGACGTCACCGGCTGCACTGAGAGATGCAGAATGGAGGATGCCGCCTCTGGAGAGGGGGAGGAGGAAAGGAGGAGGAGAGGGCAGTGAACATGTACGCATGCACCCTTCAGCCGCAACATGCGCACACATGCAGACCTAGAGAGGAGGAGTGGAGAGGGGGGGATTGCAGGCAAGTCCAATTTTTGCAGACACACACACCTCACATACACAAGACTGATGGGACTGAGGCTTGGCTGCAGTCGCAACAACAAGAGGAGAGGGCAGTTTGATTGAAAGTCTCAATGCAGCTCTGAGAAACGACATGACTGAAAGAGAGTGGGAGGGAGACAGAGAGAGGGAAAGAGGGAGAGAGAGAGACGGAAAGAGGGAGAGAGGGAGACGGGATGGGGGGTAGAGAAAAGGTAAAGGGAGAACAGGATAAAATAAAGGTTTACCTCATCCTCATTAACAACATGATGATTGATTATCACTTCCTGTTATCGTTCATTCTCTGGGGTTGTTTTCTAAACAGGCTCTGGGATTAGCTGTCCTCTATCAACACCATGTGGCCACTCTGTGCCATTTCAACACCTTACTGTGGCGCAGAGACACAGGACACTGGGCCCTTCAACTTAGCCAGGTCACCTATATCCTTCAATAAAAATGCAGATACTGTGACATATAGGAAGACAGGATGGAGTTTGAAAAACCGGTGTGTTTTATAATTTATTTATTACAAGCAGAATGACAGTACAGAGCTTTGCCCTCATTCGCTACAGATAGGCTGGCAAAATGTCAACAGATGAACATCTTTTAAAATCTTTGCAGAAAAATGACCTTGAAAACTGCTCACGGACACAAACAGTACTGTCGGTTTGTATGTGATGCAGCATACCATTTGCCTTTTGAGAGCACAGTACAGTCCAGTACATTTCACTTCATTGTGAGAGTATCACAAGTCCAGAAGCAGTATGGTGAGAGCACTTGGAGCTGTGCTGATAATGTGTTTATAAAAGAAGCGGGACATTCTGGTCAGCGACAGTCACAGGGCTGGTGTGTTTAACCAATGAGAGACAGAGACAGACCATTCAAGTAATTTGGTCACTTTTTCTCTCACTGTGATCTTGAAAACAAAATGTTTAATACAAAGAGCTTCTGAGATGAGTGATGGGTGACTACATAGAAATATAATCTCTGTGGGTGACTAGCCTACTATAAAACTCAGTGCACTTACAGTAGTAGACCTTCATGTGAGGAAAAGTGTGTGTCATTGTTTTCTAAAGTCTTCTGTGTGTTTATTCTGTGGATATACCTTTTCATTTTGGTTGTTACAAAAAACCAAAAGCAAATTGTAAATAGAGTTCAAATAGACTCTTCTCCACTGGATACAACACTAGCTAAATAAAATATAATCGACAAAAATAATGTGTTTTTCCAATAATATTGATAAGATAATAATAATAATAATAATAATAATAATAATAATAATAATAATAATGTGACAAAATGATGATTTGACCTCTCATCCAATGAGTTGACACAGTAACACAAACAGTGAAAACTCTCCCCATAACCACCAGCCTGAATTTTTTCTAGCTACGCTGTATTTAGGCCTCTCGTAATGACAAAAACATCAGACAATGAATGCATGACTTCAAACGGACATGACATAGGCTGCGTTTACACAAAAAAACAATTAGTGAAAAAAATATCTGAATTGGGCTGCCTGTGTAAACGCAGCCTATGTCATGTCCGTTGGAAGTCATGCATTCATTGTCTGATGTTTTTGTCATTACGAGAGGCCTAAATACAGCGTAGCTAGAAAAAATTCAGGCTGGTGGTTATGGGGAGAGTTTTCACTGTTTGTGTTACTGTGTCAACTCATTGGATGAGAGGTCAAATCATCATGAAGTCCTCTTTACAGTGGCTCTTATACAGTGAAGGTTACTGAGGGAGGACGGCTCATAATAATATCCGGAATGGAGTAAATGGAATGGTATCAAGCAATGTTTGATACCATTCCTTTCACTCCATTCCAACCATTATTATGAGCCGTCCTCCCCTCAGCAGCCTCCACTGGTCTGATATACGACATTCATGATAACCCCTTAGAATCCATGTCAGTAAGCTCAACCAAATGGATCTAGTCATAAACAAACATAAAACCTGAAAGGACAATGTTGTGCCCTGGTGCAAAGACAACATGAGACAGAATTTCTACTGTATAGAGATATTTGTTGTATGTGTCAGCACTCAGCAGACGTATAAACACACAAAGATCCTTATGAATCCAATGACTTTCAGAGTCTCTCACCAACACCACAGATGTCACTAACACCACAGATGTCACTAACACCACAGATGTCACTAACACCACAGATGTCACTAACACCACAGATGTTACTAATACCACAGATGTCACTAACACCACAGATGTCACCAACACCACAGATGTCACTAACACCACAGATGTCACTAACACCACAGATGTCACTAACACCACAGATGTCACTAACACCACAGATGTCACTAATACCACAGATGTCACTAACACCACAGATGTCACTAACACCACAGATGTCACTAACACCACAGATGTCACTAACACCACAGATGTCACTAACACCACAGATGTTACTAACACCATCTACAATCATTTACATAGAGGATGTGGCGAACCAATCATATCAGTTATATGACTTTCTAGAAAGATGGATTTGATTGTGACAGCGCTGTTTGATTCAAGTCATTCATTTTTTAAAATGTATTTCCCAAACCCCTAACCCTACCCCAAAATAATACATATATCCAATAGTTTAAGTTACATCCATACATGATAAACAACCTGCATTCATAATATATACCACATAAAATACTGCAGTTGAAAATTGAACATATATAAAAAGTCATAACCTGGTACGATAAAGATATACCATTCTAGAGTACGGACAATAACCTTTGCATAACAGAACATACACAATCTTTAGACAACATAAGCATAATGCAAGCAACACTGACTAATGAGTCATTAAAACATCCATGAAAGAACCCTATCAGCCTGTGTACAGGGCATAGCTATCGGTCTGACCCATAGGCCTGACCCAAACAGAGTGCCGTTACAGTGTATGGCCACATGGTGGAAAGAGTGGGTCGATAGAGAGTTTAAGGGGGATAGTGGTGCTATGCAGAGTTATGATAATGTGGGTGATGGGTAGGAGAGAGGTTGTGTATGTGTGTTTGTCTGTATGTGTGCGCATGTGTGTGTGTGTGTGTGGGGGGGGGGGGATGATGAGATATATGATAGAGAGAAAGAAAATAAAAGACTGTTTCTGAAAGAGAGTGAGGGAACATGGTGAAATGGAAGATACTCTACCACAGACACATCCATGGGTCAGGCCAGTTCCCACACTCACCAGCCACTAAACAAGTTGCACAGAGACATGCTCCAGCTGGTGGTACACAGTACATCTATACCAGTGGAGATGAGAGATAGTGGATTAAGGCAGGGTAGCTCCTATTCTACACCCCTCTTCTGATCCTCTTCTATTCCCTCTAGCCCAATCCCAAATGGACTTCTAGGCCCCACCTCCAGTCCCTAGCCCCCACCACCTAGACCCCCCAGACCCCACCCTCCACCCCTAGTCCCTAACCCCCATCCCCATAGGCCCCACCCCATAGGCCCCACCCACTAGGCCCCACCCACTAGGCCCCACCCACTAGTCCCCACCCCCTAGGCCCTTGTGTACAACTATGCTAGTAGCTCCATATTGTTCCTTGAAAGGCTTGGTGGAATTTTCACCATACTACTTACACCAATCCATTGCGTTCAGACTTACACAAGTTCACTGGGGAATGGGGGATAGGGGAAAAGGGAAAATCAGGTGTGTAAGGCTTTAGAATAGACAGATACACCACTATAGTGAGAATTACACAGTTCCCTTCTTCTCCTTTGGCTCCTAGCCTGCTGTTATTGTTATACTAAGGCAGAGGTATCTCTTGAACACACACACACATATTTACACACACACTCACACGTGCAGTGAATAACAGATGTCTTTCTCCCCAGAACATTTTGCGAAGCAACTCCCGTTATTTCAACAAAAGGAACATATTTGAGAGACAGAGAAAATAAAGTTTAAAAAAAGACAACGACAGTAAATAAAATAGAAACAGAAAAGGCTGTTTCATATTGTGACACAGTACGATTCCTTAGTGTAGAAGAGACGCACATTCAAATACAGAACTTCTTGTGTTCTGTGAGAGTTTTCCTTTAACACTACTGGTGTCAACGTTGGATTCAAGTATTTTTACATGGAGAGTGGAGTAGCAGAACAGAGTAGAGTAGCAGAACAGAGTGGAGTAGCAGAACAGAGTGGAGTAGCAGAACAGAGTAGAGTAGCAGAACAGAGTGGAGTAGCAGAACAGAGTAGAGTAGCAGAACAGAGTGGAGTAGCAGAACAGAGTAGAGTAGCAGAACAGAGTGGAGTAGCAGAACAGAGTGGAGTAGCAGAACAGAGTAGAGGTGTGGACTGGGACTGGACTGGGATCAGGACCAGACTGAAATGGAACTATTACATTTACATTTACTATGACAGGCCAGTGGGAGGCAGTTTGGGGGAGGGGGGAGGGGGGTATATCTGAATGGCTGACAATGCATATGGTGAATTGTGTGAAGATGTTTCATGTTTTTGAGTATGTGTCATTTACTTTGCGTGTGTGTGTGTTTGCATTGTTTATGAGTGGAACACAAATCCTTCCACATCCATGGTAGGCTGTAGGTTTAGCTCACATTGGTCTCTGTGTGTGTGCACATCGTTGTGTGTTCACACATTAGCCTGTGTGTGTGTGTGAGTGTGTGTGTCACACAAAGGTCTCTGGCCCCGGTGCGTAGTAGGTGAAACCGGCCCCTGAGAGGCGGAGCATGTAGGGGCTGAGGGTGCAGCGGTCTGCCCCGCCCCCATCAGTCCAGTGGGCCAATAGTAGTTTGAGGGGGAAGGACTCAGATCTGCGGAGTGGGAGGGATTTTGGAACCCTGATGTGGAGGTGGGAGGAGTCAGTACTCTTCCGTTTGGAGGAAGGGCCAGAAGGGCAAGGGGACACGGGGGTCAACTCTGCTACACTGCCCTGCAACGGCTTGTCAACATCCTGGAGAAGGAGGGAAGGAGAGAATACAGAAAAAAAAAGAGAGGGAGTGTTAAGATCTACTGAAAATACCCTCGTCTGTTTCAGGATCAATTCACATTCAGATGATCAGCGTGATTAAAAAAACTAACAAATAATCACACATATGCAGTACCATTTTCTAACACCAGAGGTCGTCAGTGTTTCTCATGCAAATGGACACTGATGTTGCCTGATATTTTATTCAGTGTATTCAATATACACAATTCAGTGTATTCAATAATAATCAATGCCATGGTTTTCCCTATGTGTTAAACTTTATCGCCATTTTTAAGATACCAAATGTATTTATTTTCACAAAATTGCTGTGATATCATTGGCTCTGACCCCTGTGTTGGAATGGACAGCATGAGCGTGATCCAATAATAAGACATTGAGCGAATCCACCTTACAGTAGCTCTCAGCAGGACAGAAGGAAAGACAGAAAATGTCCCTGTTGCATCCCAAGTTAGTTTATAATACAGCACCACCCCAAGCAAGTCACCCTATCCCTCCAGCCAAACCACCCCAAAGATAATCGTGACAATCAAACCACCCAGACAGCCCCATGTGTTGCATTCCATATTTGTGATTCGTCCCAAGTGAGCAAGCCTCTCAGCACAGTAAACCACCCAGCGGCGGTGAAGAGCCCCTAGCTGGAAATAAAATGTCACCCCCCACCCCCTCCCACAGTGCAACAGGCAGCCATTTTAGCAGCATCGCCACCCCTGACATATATTCTGTGGCCATTGGAGTTTAGTTACCGTAGCAACCCTAGTTCTCTGAGGGGGCGTGGTCTAGGGGCTGGCTGAGCAGGTAGTTAGGGTTGTGTGACATCATGGAGTCATAGGTCCTGGCAGCTTGCACCCCTCCACCTCTTCTGTCCCCCTCACAGGTCCTAGCAGGGCAAAGCATGTCTCTCTCACTGCCTCCACCTCCACCTCCATCAACAGGACTGGGGACTGGGCCCGGGTACCGAGGATACACTCCCCTCACACACCCCATCAGCCTTCACCCTCTGTGGGCAAACAGTAAGGGTGAGGAGGGGTCAGTAACCAGGAGGAGGTACTGAATAGAAGCCATGCGGTGAACCCTTGCACTGTAACAAACTGTCTTGTATGTGGCATGTAATGATAGCCCTTCAACTTCCCAGTGTCCTGCTGCTCGCAATAATCTTTCTGTTTTCACTGAGGATTACTGCAGAGTAGAAAACATAACATACATACACATGCTAGCAAGTTAGCATTTGGATGGAATAACACTTTCATGTACATTTTACACATCAATATACAGTAGATACAGTGCATACATTTGAACAGCATCCATAGGGGAACATGAAGAGAAGATATGCTGAATATGGTACTGGGTGAGATTGTAAGGCTAGCAGGATGCTAACAGAAGGCAACAAATCACTGAGTACAACTTGTTATCAGCTGTAGCATGGTCAGCACTAGCATATATAACAGTATGAATGATAATCTTGTCTGGTAATTGAGTTGAATTGTTTGAAATGGAAATGGAAGCCCTGGATGGTGAGAGAGCCCTGGATGGCAGCAGGTAGCCTAATGGTTAAGAGCGTTTGGCCAGTAACCGAAAGGTCGCTGGTTTGAATCCCTGAACCAACTAGGTGAAAAATCTGTCGATGTGCCCTTGAGCAAGGCACTTAACCCTAATTGCTCCTGTAAGTCGCTCTGGATAAGAGCGTCTGCTAAATGACTAAAATGTAAATGGTGAGAGAGCCCTTGGATGGTGAGAGAGCCCCTGGATGGTGAGAGAGCCCCTGGATGGTGAGAGAGCCCTGGATGGTGAGAGAGCCCCTGGATGGTGAGAGAGCCCCTGGATGGTGAGAGAGCCCCTGGATGGTGAGAGAGCCCCTGGATGGTGAGAGAGCCCCTGGATGGTGAGAGAGCCCTGGATGGTGAGAGAGCCCCTGGATAGTGAGAGAGCCCTGCATGGGAACACTATTATGATTGATGTTGGAATGTTGGGAGTTAACGTTGAAACACTGAGGTAACTGAATGACAGTGGTGCACTGACATGATTTCCACATTGGGACATGCCACCATGCACAGAAAGTGTTTAAAAGAGTCACCTCCTCCTCCTCTGCCATCTCTCGGCCAATCAGAAACTCAATCTGCTATCGGACTGAGAGAGCACGAAGATGGTGGATGGCTCCACGGTAAGGCACGGGCAAGTGGACTGTCGTTGCCCCAGGTAACGGGTTCAGAGGGCGGAGGTTACAGGAAGCGGAGTGGAGCAGTGGAGGAGGGAGACAGAGGGAGCGGTGGGGTGAGGAGAGAGATAGAAACAGACAGCAGAGAGAGAGAGAGAGAGAGAGAGAGAAGGGGGACGGTGGTGGGTTCGATTAGGAATCAGAGGCAGAGAAAGAGGGAAGAGGAAAGCAGAAAGAAATCAGTTAGATTTAGCTACAGATCAGTTTTGCTATATCTAAAAAGCTTTGGATAGGTATAAGCAATATGATATTTGCTTCATCTTCCCTTCTGATAGGCTGGGTGTAATCTTCACAGGTGTTGCTCACGCCTATGCAATTGTGTCAGATCTACAGGAGTGCCAAGGGCTGGGTAATGGTCTATTTGGAAATCACATGAAGCAGGAAGTGCAGCTAAGCAGTGACAGGAAGTAGTAATATCAGGTGAAAGGTGGGGAAAGGTGTTTTTACAGTGTGGGTTAACACAGGGTCAAGCTTTTAGGACATGGGTGTCAAACAAATTTCCCTGCGGCCTGCATCTAGTCTTCACCAGACAGGAGGGCCACCCTTAAATTTGAATATATTTCCTCTGCGTCACAATTTGATTTGGTTTTAGTCATTTCAAAGTCGATAAATATATATATATATATATATACAGTACCAGTCAAAAGTTTGGACACACCTACTCATTCCAGGGTTTTTCTTTATTTTTTACTATTTTCTACATTGTAGAATAATAGTGAAGACATCAAAACTATGAAATCACACAAATGGAATCATGTAGTAACCAATTTTTTTTAAAACAAATCAAAATATATTTTTTATTTGAGATTCTTCAAAGTAGCCCCCCCTTTTTTTTCTAACCTTTATTTAACCAGGTAAGCCAGTTGAGAACAAGTTCTCATTTACAACTGCGACCTGGCCAAGATAAAGCAAAGCAGTGCGATAAAAACAACAACACAGAGTTACATATGGGGTAAAAAAACATAGTCAAAAAAATACAACAGAAAATATATATACAGTGTGTGCAAATGTAGCAAGTTACGGAGGTAAGGCAATAAATAGGCTATAGTGCAAAATAATTACAATTAGTATTAACACTGGAATGCTAGATGTGCAAGAGATTATGTGCAAATAGAGATACTGGGGTGCAGAAGAGCAAAATAAATAACAATATAGGGATGAGGTAGTTGGGTGGGCTAATTTCAGATGGGCTGTGTACAGGTACAGTGATCGGTAAGGTGCTCTGACAACTGATGCTTAAAGTTAGTGAGGGAGATAAGAGTCTCCAGCTTCAGAGATTTTTGCAATTCGTTCCAGTCATTGGCAGCAGAGAACTGGAAGGAATGGCGCCCAAAGGAGGTGTTGGCTTTGGGGATGACTAGTGAGATATACCTGCTGGAGCACAGACTACAGGTGGGTGCTGCTATGGTGACCAATGAGCTAAGATAAGGCGGGGATTTGCCTAGCAGTAATTTATAGATGGCCTGGAGCCAGTGGGTTTGACGACGAACATGTAGTGAGGACCAGCCAACAATAGCGTACAGGTCACAGTGGTGGGTAGTGTATGGGGCTTTGGAGACAAAACGGATGGCACTGTGATAGACTACATCCAATTTGCTGAGTAGAGTGTTGGAGGCTATTTTGTAAATGACATTGCCGAAGTCAAGGATCGGTAGGATAGTCAGTTTTACGAGGGCATGTTTGGCAGCATGAGTGAAGGAGGCTTTGTTGCGAAATAGGAAGCCGATTCTAGATTTAACTCTGGATTGGAGATGCTTAATGTGATACTGGAAGGAGAGTTTACAGTCTAACCAGACACCTAGGTATTTGTAGTTGTCCACATACTCTAGGTCAGACCTGTTTGGAGGTTTGTTAACACAGTGTCCAATGAAGGGCCAGATGTATACAAAATGGTGTCGTCTGCGTAGAGGTGGATCTGAGAGTCACCAGCAGCAAGAGCGACATCATTGATATAAACAGAGAATAGAGTCGGCCCGAGTATTGAACCCTGTGGCACCCCCATAGAGACTGCCAGAGGTCCAGACAACAGGCCCTCCGATTTCACACATTGAACTCTATCTGAGAAGTAGTTGGTGAACCAGGCGAGGCAGTCATTTGAGAAACCAAGGCTATTTAGTCTGCCAATAAGAATGCGGTGATTGACAGAGTCAAAAGCCTTGGCCAGGTCAATGAAGACGGTCAATGAAGAAGTCTTTTATCGATCGCGGTTATTATATCGTTTAGGACCTTGAGCGTGGCTGAGGTACACCCATGACCAGCTCGGAACCGGGGGGGGGGGGGGGGGGGGGGGGGGGGACGGACATGGGAAAGTTGCAGCGGAGGGTGCAGAGCTGGTGGCCGGGGTAGTGGTAGCCAGGTGGAAAGCATGGCCAGCCGTAGCAAAATGCTTGTTGAAATTCTCGATTATTGTAGATTTATCGGTGGTGATAGTATTTCCTAGCCTCAGTGCAGTGGGCAGCTGGGAGGAAGTGCTCTTATTCTCCATGGACTTTACAGTGTCCCAAAACTTTTTGGAGTTAGTGCTACAGGATGCAAATTTCTGTTTGAAAAAGTTAGCGTTTGCTTTCCTGACTGCTTGTGTATATTGGTTCCTAACTTCCCTGAAAAGTTGCATATCGCGGGGGCTATTTGATGCTAATGCAGTACGCCACAGGATTTTTTTGTGCTGGTCAAGGGCAGTCAAGTCTGAGGAGAGCCAGGGGCTATATCTGTTCTTAGTTCTGTATTTTTTGAATGGGGCATGTTTATTTAAGATTGAGAGGAAATTACTTTTAAAGAACAACCAGGCATCCTCTACTGACGGAATGAGATCTATATCCATCCAGGATACCTGGGCCAGGTCAATTAGGAAGGCCTGCTCGCTAAAGTGTTTTAGGGAGCGTTTGACAGTGATGAGGGGTGGTCGTTTGACCGTGGACCCGTTACGGACGCAGGCAATAAGGCAGTGTTCGCTGAGATCCTGGTTGAAGACAGCGGAGGTGTATTTAGAGGGTAAGTTAGTCAGGATGATATCTATGAGGGTACCCATGTTTACGGATTTAGGGTTGTACCTGGTAGGTTCGTTGATAATTTGTGTGAGATTGAGGGCATCTAGTTTGGATTGTAGGATGGCCGGGGGTGTTAAGCATATCCCAATTTAGGTCACCAAGCAGTACGAACTCTGAGGATAAATGGGGGGCAATCAATTCACATATGGTGTCCAGGGCACAGCTGGGGGCTGAGGGGGGTCTGTAGCAAGCGGCAACAGTGAGAGACTTATTTCTGGAAAGGTGGATTTTTAGAAGTAGAAGCTCAAACTGTTTGGGCACAGACCTGGATAGTATGATAGAGCTCTGCAGGCTATCTCTACAGTAGATTGGAACTCCACCCCCTTTGGCAGTTCTATCTAGACGGAAAATGTTATAGTTGGGGATGGAAATTTCAGAATTTTTGGTGGCCTTCCTAAGCCAGGATTCAGACACTGCTAGAACATCAGGGTTGGCGGAGTGTGCTAGCGCAGTGAATAACTCAAACTTAGGAAGTAGACTTCTGATATTAACTTGCAAGAAACCTAGGCTTTTGCGATTACAGAAGTCAGCAAATGATAGCGCCTGGGGAGTAGGAGTGATACTGGGGGCTGCAGGGCCTGGGTTAGCCTCTACATCACCAGAGGAACAGAGGAGGACTAGAATAAGGATACGGCTAAAGGCTTTAAGAACTGATCTTCTAGTGCGTTGGATACAGAGAATAAAGGGGGCAGATTTCCGGGCGTTGTAGAAAAGATTCAGGGCATTATGTACAGACAAGGATATGGAAGGATATGAGTAAAGTGGAGGTAAACCTAAGCGTTGGGTAACAATGAAAGAGATAGCATCACTGGAGGCACCGATTGAGTCGGTCTCCGCGTGTATGGGGGGTGGGACAAAGGAGCTATCTAAGGCAGGTTTAGCTGTACTGGGGGATCTACAGTGAAATAGTACAATTAGAAATAACCGAAACAGCAATAAGCAAACCATATTGACATGGGAGAGAGGCATAAAGCAATCACAGGTATAATTTGAGAGAGCTAAGACAACAGCTGGTAATGACGACACAGTTTGGGCTGAGGCTAAACATAAACAGGATGCGGTACCGTAAAAAGGAACAGTCCAGCAGGCATCAGCTGTATAGCTGAGTTATCATAAGGTCCGGTGAACAGCAATAAGATAGTTCAGAGGTAGTTCGGGGGCTGCTAAAGCACTAGCGAGCAAGAGGCCATGGCTAGCGTGTGCTAGCAGGCCGGGGCTAGCAGATGGAATCTTCGTGGTCGACGTCGTAACAGGAAGCCTGTTGTAACCACATCAGACGATTTCGTCGGCAGACCAGTCGTGTAGGATCGGCGGGGCTCCGTGTCAACACAAGGTGGTTCCGTCCGGTTGACAGAGAGGTAGATAGCCGGGAGATGGGCCTAGCTCAGGATGATTAGCCAAACGACAACGTCCATTTTGTTGCAGCTAGCTGGTAGCGATGAATCCGGAGTTAAAGGTCCAGTGATTCAGTGATTCCGGCAGAAAAACTGATATGTTCTGGGTCGATAACGCGCTGTGCAGACAGTGCAGACTGGCCGAATAATAGTCCAGGCTAGAGCTGGCTGGTAGGTGGTGCAGGCCACAGACAATGGTGAAAAACCGCTAACGGTAGCTAATAGCAAGTAGCTAGTTAGCTGGCTACTCCTGTCCGGTAGACCGAGAGGTAGATAGCCGGGATATGGGCCTGGCTCTAGGCTAGCTCGAGGCTAACTGGTGCTTGCATCAGGGGCAGTGGTGATTAGCCAAACAGCAACATCCATTCGGTTGCGGCTAGCTAGTTGCGATCCGGTGATTAATGTCCAGTGATTAAATTATTCCGGCAATGTTCTGGGTGAAATACCGCTAACTGTGGCTAATAGCACGTAGCTAGTTAGCTGGCTAGTTAGTTTCAACTGGAGATTCTAGATAAAAGGTAAGTCAATGATAGAATCCATTCCACATTAAGTGAGGCGGGTTGCAGGAAAGTATATTTTGTAGAAGGATGAAAAGTCTGATAGGGAAATATGTACGAAAAATACAAAAAAACAGGGTATTTACAGGCTATTTACAGACACACGACAAAAACAGAACTGCACTACTACGCCATCTTGGATATTCCAATTAACAGGTATGCCTTGTTAAAGGTTAATTTGTGGAATTTCTTTCCTTGAGCCAATCAGGGTTGTTGTGACAAGGTAGGGGTGGTATACAGAAGATAGCCCTATTTGGTAAAAGACCAAGTCCATATTATGGCAAGAACAGCTCAAATAAGCAAAGATAACCGACAGTCCATCAATACTTTAAGACATGAAGGTCAGTCAAACCGGAAAATTTCAAGAACTTTGAAGGTTTCTTCAAGTGCAGTCGCAAAAACCAGTTACCTCTGCTGCAGAGGATAAGTTCATTAGAGTTAACTGCACCTCAGATTGCAGCCCAAATAATTGCTTCACAGATTTTAAGTAACAGACACATCTCAACATCAACTGTTCGGAGGAGACTACTAAAGGACACCAATAAAAATAAGAGACTTGCTTGGGCTAAGAAACACAAGCAATGGATATTAGACCGGTGGAAATCTGTCCTTTGGTCTGATGAGTCCAAATTTGAGATTTTTGGTTACAACCACTGTGTCTTTGTGAGACGCAGAGTAGGTGAACGGATGATCTCTGCATGTGTGAAGCATGGAGGAGGGGGTGTGATGGTGCTTTGCTGGTGACACTGTTGGTGATTTATTTAGAATTCAAGGCACATTTAATCAGCATGGCTACCACAGCATTCTGCAGCGATATGCCATCCCATCTGGTTTGCGTAAGGGCTATTTGACCAAGAAGGAGAGTGATGGAGTGCTGCATCAGATGACCTGGCCTCCACAATCACCCGACCTCAACCCAATTGAGATGAAATGGGATGAGTCGGACGGCAGAGTGAAGGAAAAGCAGCCAACAAGTGCTCAGCATATGTGGGAACTACTTCAAGACTGTTGGAAAAACATTCCAGGTGAAGCTGGTTGAGAGAATGTCAAGAGTGTGCAAAGCTGTCATCAAGGCAAATGGTGGCTATTTGAAGAATCTCAAATCTCAAATATATTTTGATTTGTTTAACACTTGGTTACTACATGATTCCATATGTGTTATTTCATAGTTTTGATGTCTTCACTATTATTCTACAATGTAAAAAATAGTAAAAATAAAGAAAAACCCTTGAATGAGTAGGTGTGTCCAAACTTTTGACTGGTACTGTATATATATATTTTTTACTCAATCCACCCGCGGGCTGGATTGAATGGGCTCGCAGGCCGGATCCAACCTTGAGATTGACACGTGTTTAAGGAGTTTTAGTACTGAGTCGTCTGGTATGTGAGAGGCATCTATACCTGGATACTTTTGGTCATAGTGAGTGGATAAGGTATTTTTGATGTGATTGTACAGGTAGGCCTACATACGTATCTACTGTACATATTGAGGGCAGCAATCGAATAACTCTTCAATTCACTGGTGCGGTTGTATTTCCTGAGCTGTGGTCAAGTTGTGGTCCTACCTGTGCGCGTTCGGTGGCGGTAGGCCACAGGGTTCTGCAGAGGACCTTCTTGACCACGTCAGGCAGCAGGCTGACCGTGATGAGCAGGATGATGCTGAGCCAAGCCGGACCGCTGGACAACATCTGCATGAACACATAGTACATTCTCTGGTAGTTCAGGAAGGGCCTGAAGGGAGAGGAGAGGATCTAGTTATTCTATATCTATGTTTAAGTGAAAGTAATAGTGTACAGAGTAAGAACCAGTCAGTTGTAAAAATGAGAGGCCTACCATATGATGCCTCCCCAGAGCAGTGAGAAGATGACATAGAAAAGCAGAGAGCCCCAGATGACAAAATGGTTGATCCAGGTCCAGTGGTGTGTGTCCAAGGCAAGCTGCAACACACAGGATATACACACACACATACGTTATCAATCAATCAGTCAATAGTTACGCCTCCAGGGCTTACAGCTCTAATGACTGATGAGAACGTCTAGTCAATCAATTATCTCACACAGACATATATACGTGCAAAGGGATTATTAATTCAGCTATTATCAGATTCACTCAGACTCTTTCTCCTTCACACCGTGTAAACACACACACACACACACACACACACACACTAACCCACCTTAAACGTGACCGTGAACACCAGCACAGTAAAGACGAGAGTCCCGAAAGTCCAGTTCCCAAACATCTAGAGGAGAACAGAGAAAGAGAGGAGGAAGTCAGCCACATCTCATCATGCACACACTGACTTTCACCCATCCTTTATATATACACATAATCCCACTGAGATAAAGATCTGTTTTCCATCGTCGTTGATCATCTGTTGAAACCATTGACTTCTTTAAATATCAGTTGAAACTATTCACACCTATATGAGCACAGAGTAACAACTATAACTACTTTATTAAAACCTGTAGTGTAGTTGAGGCTAAACGCACGTAAATGCCGTTCACACACCTTTTTTATTTTGCGCGAGTGTTTATTCACCTTTTGCGGCTAAATGCATTTAAGTATAGGGAGCTTTACTTTACTTACCATGAACGGCGATCAGCTTTTACCACTACATCACTGATTGCAATCCTAAACCCTATAGTGTTTGATGCTGCAACAAGCTACGTCCATTTCACCTGTATTTCACCTTGTCTTTTACTGTTGTATGGCATCCCATTCATGTAGGTCTCATTTTATGCAAAATATGGTAAATAACCTTTAAACTTGAGAGCAAAAGCAGGATGCCAAATATAGAAATATAGAAATATAGCGCAAAAAACTAGAACAAATCAACTCTGCATTTTTTCCTTAGAAATCTCCCGCTCTTTCTCTCTCTGATACAAAGATGGATCTCGTGCTCTTTGAGGATGTGTTCTTTCTACTCACAGATGACTGTCAAAGCTGACATCAGGAAGGAACAGATGGAGCAGGAGGAGAAAGAGACAGGGAGAGAGGAGAGAGGAGAGGTAGATACAGGGAGAGAGGAGAGAGGAGAAAGAGACAGGGAGAGAGGAGAGGAGAAAGAGACAGGGAGAAAGGAGAGAGGAGAAAGAGACAGGGAGAGAGGAGGAGAAAGAGACAGTGAGAAAGGAGAGAGGAGAGGTATAGACAGGGAGAGAGGAGAGCAAGAGACAGGGAGAGAGGAGAGGTAGAGACAGGGAGAGAGGAGAGAGGAGAGGGGAGAGGTAGAGACAGGGAGAGAGGAGAGGTAGAGACAGGGAGAGAGGAGAGGTAAGACAGGGAGAGAGAGAGAGGAAGGAGAGGTAGAGGAAGGGAGAGAGGTAGAGGTTAGAGAACAGGGAGAGAGGAAGAGGTAGAGACAGGGAAGAGAGAGAGAGGTAGAGAAAGGGAGAGAGGACAGGTAGAGAAAGGAGAGAGAGGTAGAGAAGGGAGAGAGGAGAGGTAGAGACAGGGAGAGAGGAGAAGTAGAGACAGGGAGAGAGGAGAGAGGAGAGCAAGAGACAGGGAGAGAGGAGAGCAAGAGACAGGGAGAGAGGAGAAGTAGAGACAGGGAGAGAGGAGAGAGGAGAGGTAGAGACAGGGAGAGAGGAGAGGTAGAGACAGGGAGAGAGGAGAGAGGAGAGGTAGAGACAGGGAGAGAGGAGAGGTAGAGACAGGGAGAGAGGAGAGGTAGAGACAGGGAGAGAGGAGAGAGGAGAGGTAGAGGTAGAGTGAAAGAGGAAGAGAGATGTAGGGAGAGGTAGAGTGAGAGATGGAGGGAGAGGTAGAGTGACAGAGGAAGAGATATGGAGGGAGAGGTAGAGTGACAGAGGAAGAGATATGGAGGGAGAGGTAGAGTGAGAGATGGAGAGAAGGAGAAACGTGTTTCATTAGCATAGTGGAGGGGTGTTGGAACCCCCATGTTCTCATCCCTGACTAACCCCCTCCTCCTCCAACATCAGCTCTCTCTCAATTCACACCCTGGCTTAATCAACACAGGAGCATGTCAACTAGAAATACATCTCTCTATACTAGAAATACATCTCTCTATACTATAAATACATCTCTCTATACAAGAAATACATCTCTCTATACTATAAATACATCTCTCTATACTATAAATACATCTCTCTATACTAGAAATACATCTCTCTATACTATAAATACATCTCTCTATACCAGAAATACATCTCTCTACAAATACTAGATAACATGAACATAATATAATAATAATATATGCTGCTTAGCAGACGTTTTATCCAAAGAGACTTACAGTCATACGTGCATACATTTTACATATGGGTGGCTCCAGAAGAAACATACATAGTTAGGGTGAGAGCTCACCCTCCAAGACAGTGCAGCTAGAATGAATCCATATTACTAAAACAGCAGAGACCACTTTCTTGACAAAATGCATTGTCTATGTACTACTACTGCACACACACACACACACACACACACACACACACACACACACACACACACACACACACACACACACACACACACACACACACAGGTTATTTTAAGTCTACTACCAGGACAACACATAAGGATAATGTGGGGGAGAGACTAGTGTATCTATATTAGTAGAGTGGAGCTGGTGAGGTCAGGTGTTGGGCTGGGTAGAGAGGCCCTAGATGTGGAACCTAACTACACGGCGGAGTGGGGATGGATGGATCGATGTTTAGGGATGAAACGGTCAAACTCAAAGCTAAACTAAAAACTAACCGAAGTTAAAAGCACATGATCGACAGAGAGACAGGGAGAGAGGGAGAGAGGAAGAGTGGGAGAGTGAGATAGGGAGAGAGGGAGAGAGAAGAGAGGCCGAGAGGGAGAGAGAGATAGAGGAGAGAAGGACGAGAAGTGAGAGAGGAAAGAGAGGAAGAGAGGACGAGAGGAGGAGTGAGAGAGGCAGAGAGTGATAGAGGAAGAGAGGATAGAGGGAGAGAAGAGAGGGAGAGAGGAAGAGCGGGAGAGAGGAAGAGAGGAAGAGCGGGAATAGAGGAATAGAGGAAGAAAGGGAGAGAGGGAGAGAGGAAGAGAGGGAGAGAGGGAGAGAGGGAGAGAGGAAGAGAGGAAGAGAGGGAGAGAGGGAGAGACAGGCTTACCATCTGTGTGTTGGTGGTCATAAGCTGAGGAACAGGAAGAAAATAAAAATGAAGAGAGAAGAAGAAGCAGAGAGGAGGAAGAAGAGATAAAATAATCAGACATGATGTTTCAACTTAAAGAGAAAAAACAGGACCAAAGACAACAGTTAATATGACATAAATCAACAGTACAGAGAAAGATGCTATAGCGTTGTCCATATGAATGGAATCCTGACGGTTGTCAAGCTAAAGAGGACCACTGAGACCCTGAACACAACTGAACCACAACCTGACCATAACCTACCCATAGATAACCAGAACCTGACCACATTGTCTTACTCTTGTGTTATGTGACAATCACATGGAGATGGATGGATGTTCTATAAACCATCACTATGGTGACTCTCAAATGGCACCCTTTTACCTACATAGTTCACCACTTCTGACCAGAGCCAAACGGGGTATTGTTTAATCCAGCTAATGGTCAATGCTTATGACTTGGGGTTGGGTCATCTGATCCTAGATCTGTAGTTAGGGGCAACTTGTCAACTGGTCCTTGACAACGGAGCTCTGCCCCGGTTGCCGTGGAGGCGGTTGCCGGGGCTCACCTGTCCATTGCTAGTGAAGGTGGTGTTGTCGAACAGGAAGTAGGCACCAAAAAAGAAGATACAGGCGTCAAATAAGCCCAGGCACGTCCAGTACAGGAACACGGGCCAGCGCAGGAGAGAGTTCTTAGCTACGTCCCTGGGAGAGGGAGAGAGAGGAGGGGTAGAGAGAGTGAGAGAGAGTAGTAGGGAAAGAGAGAAGAGAAGGGGAGAGTGAGATAGGGGGGAGATAGAAGGGGGATAATGCAGAGTAGGGGAAGAGACGAGAGAGAGGAGAGAGTGAGGGGGGGGAGATAGAGAGTGGGATGAGAGGACGTAGAGATAGGAGATTGGTGATAGGCGTGTATCGCTCTACGCTTTAGATCTGCTCTCTCAGGATCGCGAGCTCGCGCTTGGCGCTAGCGAGCGTGTATTGGTCTAGAGGGCTCTGAGCGATGCGCGCGCATCCAACCGAGAGAGAGAGGGGAGAGAGAGAGAGAGATGGTGGCAAGTGAGAGTGAAGGAAAAATGTTAAACAAAACAAAAACACGTTTTTTTCTCTGTGTAGGAATTACATTGTCTTTCAAAAAAGTGTCCATTTTGGTGGGATGTTCCTCTGACCTGTACAGAGTGGGGTCTCTCTTCAGCGTCTCTATGCTGACGTGTTTCTCTATTAGGCTGTAGAGGAGGATGGGCAGGGAGGTGAAGCTGATGTTGTACAGCGTCAGGTAGGCCGTGTCGTACAGGGGCTGCACGGGGACACACAGAACCCAGTCAGAAATACACAGACTACACGACCAAACAGGCAACCATGATTTTGAGCACCAACCTGCTGAGAGAATCCACAGAAGAACTGATATAGGAACTGAGGGAAGATGAAGCACACATTCTGGAGAGAGAGAGAAAGGAGGAGAAGCAAAGTGAGAAAGTGAGGACTAAATGTTGTTCCTCATTCTATAATGACTCAGCTACTTGCAGTGTAGCGCCTGGAGATTTGTGCTGTTCTGGGCCAGCTACCAGACTGAGGTGGTGTTGAGCCCCAAGTTGTGTAATTCAATACTAAAGAATTGAAATGTGATCCCAGTAAATGGCCAGTGTCAGTAGTAAAGCCCACCTTATAGAAGAAGTACTGCACCAGCTCAGCGATGCGGATGTAGTAGAAGTGGCCGTGAACCAGCAGCATCTTCTTCAGGTGTTTGAACTTTGGGATGGCGTAGTCACTGTTCCTCGCTGCCTGGCGACCCTCCTTACCCATGATGCCTTAGGAGAGAGGGAGGGATTGGTTGATTGATGGATTAATTGATAGAAAACAAACATACACCAATGAGATTCCTTGGAGCCAAAGCCTCCTACCAATCAAAGAAGAGAGATGAGTGCTAGCTGATGGTTCCCACCAATCAGAGTACAAACACATGGGCTTGCCAATCAGTGTAGAGATGAGTTTACCTATGCCCACGTGTGCCTCGAGGATCATGCTGACGTCGTTGGCTCCGTCTCCGATGGCCAGAGTGATGGGGTGCTCCTTAGACGCCTTGATTAGCTTCACAATCTAGACAGACAAGTCATACCACCACTCATTAAACACTGATTGATTGATTGATTGATTACCTACCTACACACCTACCTACCTACCTACCTACACATAATCTCTCTCTGGATTCCCATGTGAGACAGGAAGTGACATCACACCCACCTGTGCTTTCTGTAGGGGCGCCATGCGGCAGCAGAGAACGGCGCTGCAGTTCCTACAGATCTCCAGGAAGATCTCTCTGTAGTTCCCCGAGCCAGAGCTTTCTGGACTGGGCTTCAGCACCTCAGACAGGGTGGCCCCGTCGATGATCAGACCATAGTCGTGACAGTCTACAGATAGCCTGGGGAAAAACACACAGATATACAGATGTTAACACACAGAGATACACGCATACTGTACATATACATGCTGTGTGCGCGCACACACACGTGCACGTGAAACATAGGAACACAAATACATTGGGTTGTGTGTGTGTAGCATACCCTGACAGGGAGCGTTGTCTAAGTACGGTTCTGCTCAGGTCAAACAGAACGTCATGTAGACTCTGTTCCTTAGTTCGTTTCTTGGTCAGCTCCAATATTTGAGTGGAGCGGCGGAATAGCTTGCTAGCATAACACGTAGCAGCCGCCGTCTCCATCTTGTCCCCCGTCAGGACCCACACCTTCATCCCAGCCTTGTGGAGAGACTCGATGGTGTCTGCTGCCTTCTCCTGGAGCCTGCACAGCAATCAATAGGTTGTTAGCATTAGGCATCACTATAGGGTGTATGGACCTTTCAAAGTATGCAAGATATCAATGATTACAGTATTGATCAACAACATATGTTTTATATTGATTATTTAAAAATATAACGTAAAGCTAACCTGATTAAATCCTGATTAAAACAGTACATTTATTCTACACCATGAAGGATTGTAAAAACAATCAAGGCAGAGGAGTTAATAGTATTTCCTTTGTGGTTCATGATAACTACTCTAGTCAATAAGTCTCCTTGGCCAGCAACCAATGGGTTAACACACTGATCAATCACTGGTCAATCACTCAGTCTAAGTATTGATGACTAATCTACAGTATACATGGCCAGGTCAATGTGTACCATACACCAGAAGGCTAGTCCATTAGGAAATCAAGCTGTCATCAATCAGGAAATCCATGATAGTAAATCTCCCACATCTCTCTCCTTCCCTCTCTCTCTTCTTTCCGTCCTCTCTCTCTCTCTATGGGAAACATATGTTTACATTGCCAAAGCAAGTGAAATAGAATAGAAATTCTCTCTCTCTCTCTCTCTCTCTATTCCTCTCTCCCTCTCTCTATTCCGCTCTCCCTCTCCCTATCTCTCTCTCTCTCTCTCTCTCTATATATATATATATATATATATATATATATATATATATATATATATATATATATTCCTCTCTCTCTCTATATATATATACAGTGGGGGAAAAAAGTATTTAGTCAGCCACCAATTGTGCAAGTTCTCCCACTTAAAAAGATGAGAGGCCTGTAATTTTCATCATAGCTACACGTCAACTATGACAGACAAATTGATGGAAAAAAATCCAGAAAATCACATTGTAGGATTTTTAATGAATTTATTTGCAAATTATGGTGGAAAATAAGTATTTGGTCACCTACAAACAAGCAAGATTTCTGGCTCTCACAGACCTGTAACTTCTTCTTTAAGAGGCTCCTCTGTCCTCCACTCGTTACCTGTATTAATGGCACCTGTTTGAACTTGTTATCAGTATAAAAGACACCTGTCCACAACCTCAAACAGTCACACTCCAAACTCCACTATGGCCAAGACCAAAGAGCTGTCAAAGGCCACCAGAAACAAAATTGTAGACCTGCACCAGGCTGGGAAGACTGAATCTGCGGTAGGTAAGCAGCTTGGTTTGAAGAAATCAACTGTGGGAGCAATTATTAGGAAATGGAAGACATACAAGACCACTGATAATTTCCCTCGATCTGGGGCTCCACGCAAGATCTCACCCCGTGGGGTCAAAATGATCACAAGAACGGTGAGCAAAAATCCCAGAACCACACGGGGGGACCTAGTGAATGACCTGCAGAGAGCTGGGACCAAAGTAACAAAGCCTACCATCAGTAACACACTACGCCGCCAGAGACGCAAATCCTGCAGTGCCAGACGTGTCCCCATGCTTAAGCCAGTACATGTCCAGGCCCGTCTGAAGTTTGCTAGAGTGCATTTGGATGATCCAGAAGAGGATTGGGAGAATGTCATATTGTCCGATGAAACCAAAATAGAACTTTTTGGTAAAAACTCAACTCGTCGTGTTTGGAGGACAAAGAATGCTGAGTTGCATCCAAAGAACACCATACCTACTGTGAAGCATGGGGGTGGAAACATCATGCTTTGGGGCTGTTTTTCTGCAAAGGGACCAGGATGACTGATCCGTGTAAAGGAAAGAATGAATGGGGCAATGTATCGTGAGATTTTGAGTGAAAACCTCCTTCCATCAGCAAGGGCATTGAAGATGAAACCTGGCTGGGTCTTTCAGCATGACAATGATCCCAAACACACCGCCCTGGCAACGAAGGAGTGGCTTCGTAAGAAGCATTTCAAGGTCCTGGAGTGGCCTAGCCAGTCTCCAGATCTCAACCCCATAGAAAATCTTTGGAGGGAGTTGAAAGTCCGTGTTGCCCAGCGACAGCCCCAAAACATCACTGCTCTAGAGGAGATCTGCATGGAGGAATGGGCCAAAAATACCAGCAACAGTGTGTGAAAACCTTGTGAAGACTTACAGAAAACGTTTGACCTGTGTCATTGCCAACAAACGGTATATAACAAAGTATTGAGAAACTTTTGTTATTGACCAAATACTTATTTTCCACCATCATTTGCAAATAAATTCATAAAAAATCCTACAATGTGATTTTCTGGATTTCTTTTTCTCATTTTGTCTGTCATAGTTGACGTGTACCTATGATGAAAATTACAGGCCTCTCTCATCTTTTTAAGTGGGGAGAACTTGCACAATTGGTGGCTGACTAAATACTTTTGGTCCCACCACATAGTGCGATAATATACTTCCCCCCTCTCTCTCTATATATATATATAGATATAGTGGACCTATGAATAAAATTACCCAGACCTCTACATGCTTTTGTAAGTAGGAAACCTGCAAAATCGGCAGTGTATCAATACTGTGCTCCCCACTGTATTATGTACATTCCCCGCTCTCTATAGATATATAGATGACATCCCACCGCTCGCTATAAAACACACTAACAAATAATATAACAAAACAAGCTTAACAACAACACCCTCGCGAATCGAAAGATAGCTACTAAAAAAATATAAAAAAAAAAAACAAATCAAATACACCCTCTCTCTATAGAAGTCAAAACCAACCCAAAGATACACACGCATCACATACTAAAAATCACATCCAAAATACAAAAAATACGTCCCCTCTCATACACTACATATATAAGAAATACAGCCCCGCTCTCGAGATGATAACATTACCCATCAGCGCTAAGCTCATATACATGCCACCGCGCAGCGAGATAATATTACACCTCTCTCTCTCTCTCGCTCTCGCGCCGCCCGCGCTCCGCGCGCCCGCTCTCTCCTCTCTCCTCCTCGCGCTCTCTCAGCGCGCGCCCTCAAACAAAAAGAAACTCAGTAATCCCGAGGGGCAAAAGATGGACCAATGACTGGCTAAGATAGGTCATTCCCCGAACGGCGCAGACAAGAAGTCATTGGCAAAGAGACGCAACGGGAGGCCCCTCTCCATTGTCTTCTCCCTCTCTCTCCTCCTCTCTCCTCCCCCCTCTCCTCTCTCTCTCTCTCCTCTCCTCTCCTCTCTCCCTCTCCTCCTCTCTCCTCTTCTCCTCTCTCTCCCTCCGTCGTCTGTCTCCTCTTTCTCTCATCCTCCCCCTCCTCCTCGCTTCCTTTCTCCCTCGCTCGGTCTCCCTCTCCCCTCTCTCTCTTGCTCTTCGTTCCTCTTGGGGTATCCAGCCTCGTTTTCGTCCTCCTCTCTCTCACTCTCTCCTCTCTCTTCTCTGGGTTTCTTCCCTCTCTAGGCCTCGATTTCTTTCTCTCTCTCTTACGTCTCCCATCATTCTCCCCTCTCTCTCTCTCTCTCTCCTCTCCTCTCATCTCTCTCTCTCTCATTCTCTCCCTCTTCCCGTTGGCTCTCTCTCTCTCTCCTCTCCTCTCTCTCCTCTCTCTCTCCTCTTCTCTCTCTCTCCCCTCTCTCTCTCACTCTCTCTCTCTCTCTCTCTCCTCCCTCTCTCTCTCTCTCTCTCTCTCTCTCTCTCTCTCTCTTCTCGTCTCCCTCTCTCTCTCTCTCTCTCTTCCCTCTCTCTCCTCTCTCTCTCGCTCTCGCTCTCCCTCTCTCCTCTCTCCTCCCAGCTGTGGCCCCCAGCAGGGTGAAGTCTCTCTCGATGAGGTCATAAGCCTGCGCCAGTCGCTGCTCCCTGTCCTGCAGGGCCAGCTTGGCGTCGCTCAGCTGATGACACGCCTCCTCGTAATCCACTAGGGAGAGACTCCTGTAGGCCACACACAGGGTCCGCAAGCCCTCCTGACAGAGGTAAAGGTGAGAATCAGTTGACTGAAAGAGATTATGGTTCTCTTTTAGGGCCATAGTAGCCACAGTGCTACAACTATAGTAGGTATAAGAGTCAGCGTTGTGTGACTGCAGACTTTTTACACATTTTGTTACGTTACAGCCTTATCCTAAAATGGATTAAATAGTCGTTTTTTTCTCATCAATCTACATATAATACCCCATAATGACAAAGCAAAAACAGGTTTTTGCAAATGTATATATATAAAAAAAAAAAAACTGAAATACACATTTACATAAGTATTCAGACCCTTTACTCGGTACTTTGTTGAAGCACATTTGGCAGCGATTACAGCCTTGAGTCTTCTTGGGTATGATGCTACAAGCTTGGCACACCTGTATTTGGGGAGTTTCTCCCATTCTTCTCTGCCGATCCTCTCAAGCTCTGTCAGGCTGGATGGGGAGCGTCGCTGCACAGCTATTTTCAGTTCTCTCCAGAGATGTTAGATCGGGTTCAAGTCCGGGCTCTGACTGGGCCACTCAAGGATATTCAGAGACTTGTCCCGAAGCCATTCCTGCATTGTCTTGGCTGTGTGCTTAGGGTCGTTGTCCTGTTGGAAGGTGAACCATCGCCCCAGTCTAAGGTCCTGAGCGCTCTGGAGCAGGTTTTCATCAAGGATCTCTCTGTACTTTGCACCATTTATCTTTCCCTCGATCCTGACTAGTCTCCCAGTCCCTGCCGCTGAAAAACATGCCCACAGCATGATGCTGCCACCACCATGCTTCACCGTAGTGATGGTGCCAGGTTTCCTCCAGACGTGACGCTTGGCATTCAGGCCAAAGAGTTCAATCTTGGTTTCATCAGACCAGAGAATCTTGTTTCTCATTGTCTGAGAGTCCTTTACGTGCCTTTTGGCAAACTCAGAGCGGGCTGTCATGTGCCTTTTACTGAGGAGTGGCTTCCGTCTGGCCACTCTACCATAAAGGCCTGATTGGTGGCGTGCTACTGAGATGGTTGTCCTTCTGGAAGGTTCTCCCATCTCCACAGAGGAACTCTGGAGGTCTGTCAGAGTGACCATCGGGTTCTTGGTCACCTCCCTGACCAAGGTCCTTCTATCCCGATTGCTCAGTTTGGCCGGGCGGCCAGCTCTAGGAAGAGTTTTGGTGGTTCCAAACTTCTTCCATTTAAGAATGATGGCCACTGTGTTCTTGGGGACCTTCAATGCTGCAGAAATGTTTTGGTACCCTTCCCCAGATCCGTGCCCCGACACATTTCTGTCTCGGAGCTCTACTGACAATTCCTTCGACCTCATGGTTTGGTTTTTGCTCTGACATGCACTGTCAACAGTGGGACCTTATATAGACAGGTATGTGCCTTTCCAAATCATGTCCAATCAATTGAATTCACCACAGGTGGACTCCAATCAAGTCGTAGAAGGATGATCAATGGAAACAGGATGCACCTGAGCTCAATTTCGAGTCTCATAGCAAAAGGTCTGAATACTAAATATTTTACATTTTTAAATACATTTGCAAACATTTCTAAAAACCTGTGTTCGCTTTGTCATTATGGGGTATTGTGTGTAGATTGATGAAGAAATGTTTGTATTTAATCCATTTTAGAATAAGGCTGTAACGTAACAAAATGTGGAAAAAGTCAAGGGGTCTGAATACTTTCCGAATGCACTGTATATATTTGGGGTTTTAGTTATGGTACAGGCATACAGTGAGGGAAAAAAGTATTTGATCCCCTGCTGATTTTGTACGTTTGCCCACTGACAAAGAAATGATCAGTTTATAATTTTAATGGTATGTTTATTTGAACAGTGAGAGACAGAATAACAAACAAAAAAATCCAGAAAAACACATGTAAAAAATGTTATAAATTGATTTGCATTTTAATGAGGGAAATAAGTATTTGATCCCCTCTCAATCAGAAAGATTTCTGGCTCCCAGTTGTCTTTTATACAGGTAACGAGCTGAGATTAGTGCTCCTAATCTCAGCTTGTTACCTGTATAAAAGACACCTGTCCACAGAAGCAATCAATCAGTCAGATTCCAAACTCTCCACCATGGCCAAGACCAAAGAGCTCTCCAAGGATGTCAGGGACAAGATTGTAGACCTACACAAGGCTGGAATGGGCTACAAGACCATCGCCAAGCAACTTGGTGAGAAGGTGACAACAGTTGGTGCGATTATTCGCAAATGGAAGAAACACAAAATAACTGTCAATCTCCCTCGGCCTGGGGCTCCATGCAAGATCTCACCTCGTGGAGTTGCAATGATCATGAGAATGGTGAGTAATCAGCCCAGAACTACATGGGAGGATCTTGTCAATGATCTCAAGGCAGCTGGGAACATAGTCACCAAGAAAACAATTGGTAGCACACTACGCCGTGAAGGACTGAAATTCTGCAGCGCCCGCAAGGTCCCCCTGCTCAAGAAAGCACATATACAGGCCCGTCTGAAGTTTTCCAATGAACATCTGAATGATTCAGAAGAGAACTGGGTGAAAGTGTTGTGGTCAGATGAGACCAAAATCGAGCTCTTTGGCATCAACTCAACTCGCCATGTTTGGAGGAGGAGGAATGCTGCCTATGACCCCAAGAACACCATCCCCACCGTCAAACATGGAGGTGGAAACATTATGCTTTGGGGGTGTTTTTCTGCTAAGGGGACAGGACAACTTCACCGCATCAAAGAGACGATGGACGGGGCCATCAAATCTTGGGTGAGAACCTCCTTCCCTCAGCCAGGGCATTGAAAATGGGTCATGGATGGGTATTCCAGCATGACAATGACCCAAAACACACGGCCAAGCAACAAAGGAGTGGCTCAAGAAGAAGCACATTATTGTCCTGGAGTGGCCTAGACCTTAATCCCATAGAAAATATGTGGAGGGAGCTGAAGGTTTGAGTTGCCAAACGTCAGCCTCGAAACCTTAATGACTTGGAGAAGATCTGCAAAGAGGAGTGGGACAAAATCCCTCCTGAGATGTGTGCAAACCTGGTGGCCAACTACAAGAAACGTCTGACCTCTGTGATTGCCAACAAGGGTTTTGCCACCAAGTACTAAGTCATGTTTTGCAGAGGGGTCAAATACTTATTTCCCTCATTAAATTTTTTGTTGTTATTCTGTCTCTCACTGTTCAAATAAACCTACCATTAAAATTATAGACTGATCATTTCTTTGTCAGTGGGCAAATGTACAGGAGGGGATCAAATACTTTTTTCCCTCACTGTATAAGAAGTGAGTTTAGGGGTTTGGTGTAGGTATAAAGAAAGTAATACTGTATGTATGTGTATGTGTATATATGTGTGTGTGTGTGTGTGTGTGTGTGTGTGTGTGTGTGTGTGTGTGTGTGTGTGTGTGTATGTGTGTGATGGAGCAGTAACCGAAAGGTCGCTGGTTCGAATACCCGAGCCGACAAGGTGAAAAATCTGTTGATGTGCCCTTGAGCAAGGCACTTAACCCTAATTTTCTCCAGGGGTGTTGTACTAGTATGGCTGACCCTATAAAATAACACATTTCACTGCACCTACCGGTGTATGTGACAATAAAGATATTGTTGTATTTTTTTTTTTTTTACTGTCCTTGTGGGTACCGGAAATACCCAAAAGTCCTCACAAGTATACATTTCCCAGGTCCCCACGAGGACAAAGGCTATTTTTGGCTTAGTGGTTAAGCCTAAAGGTTTAGGGTTACAGTTAGGGTTAGAATTAGGGTTTGGGGATAGGTTTAGGAGTTAGGGTTAAGGTTAGGGTAAGGGTTAGGAAAATAGGGAAAAAATAATTTTGAATGCAAATCAATTTAAGGTCCCCACAAGGATAGTAAAACATATGCTGTGTGTTTGTGTGTATGTGTAGACTTACCAGAGCGTTCTGCTCCACCCGCGCCCTCACCTGCCCCACCTTCCCTGACACCACCCTGGGGAAGATGGAGGAGTCAGCCCCCTTACAGAACAACAGGTACTCCCCTGGGGACAATAGAGTTAGTTAAGAGAGTGTGAGTGACAGAGAGATAGATCATGTCAATGTGTGTATCTCTATTTGTGTGTGTTTTTTTTGTGTGTGTGTGTGTGTGTGTTTTTGCGTGTGTTTTGCGTGTGTGTGTGCGTTACCTGCACTAGACTTGACAATGACGCTCATTCTCCTCCTGACAGAGTCAAAGTTCAGCACGTGTAGCAGCTCAAACCTGGAACACACACCGGAGTAGATGTCTCCTTCAGCATCAGCCAAAATACACAGGACATTCTCTAACAGTGTACACAGCAATACGAGTGGCTAGAGACAAGCAAAAACAGAACAGGCCTTTGTACAGACTAATTATCCTCCTTTTCTCTTCCCTCTTCCTCTCTGTTTACTTTGTATCTCCCTCCCTTTCTTCCTCCTTGGTTCTCTCTAAATAGCGGTTTCACAGACAACCCACTGCAGAGAGGGATGTAGATACTGATGTTATACAAGTGGTGCCTATGGGATCCAAACCTGCTATTTATACCCTTGATAAAACCACTGTCCCACACGATCTACTGGCTTCTGCTCCCACACTATTCTATGTGTCTTCTCACAGGTCTTTCAAACACTTCTATGAGTCTTCTCACAGGGCTTTCACACTCTTCTATGATTCTTCTCACAGGGCTTTCACACTCTTCTATGTGTCTGCTCACAGGTCTTTCACACTCTTCTATGTGTCTTCTCACAGGGCTTTCACACTCTTCTATGCGTTTTCTCACAGGGCTTTCACACTCTTATATGCGTCTTCTCACAGAGCTTCCACATTCTTCTTGGCAGTGTTGTCTTACTACAGGGAAGTTGTCTTATTGCAATATTTTAAACACACCACCTAAAGTATCTAGGTTTTGACAATTGGCAGCAATATGGAATTAACTTAAATTAATTAGATTGAATTAATAACTTGAGATATGCATGTGTAACTATGGTAACTCTATGGTTTCTCAGGAGGCTGTGAAATATGAAAGGCCAAATTAAAAGATGTTGTGAGCAGAGCCCCACCTCTCAATCTCATCGTCCTTATTGAGAATCTCCATATGACGGTCTTTTAGTCTCAGATATGTGTACCCCAACCTGAGAGGAAGAGAGAGAGAGACAGAGAGCGAGATGAGAGGGAGAGAGAGAGAGTAAGAGAGAGAGAATGTGTGTGTGAGAAAAAGAGTGAGCGAGAGAACGTGTGTGTGTGAGAGAGAGAGAGAGAGAGAGAGAGAGAGAGAGAGAATGTGTGTGTGAGAGAGAGAGAGTGTTCTGTAGGTTAGAGAAAAGGCATGACTATTTGTGTGCTTGTCTGTATTATTGCTAAGTGTGTGTATCACGAAGTGTGTGTGTATTGTTAAGTGTGTGCATGTATTGCTTAGTGTGTGCGTGTCCTTCCATGTGTGTGTGTGTATGTGTGTGGCCTTCAGTATGTGTGTGTGTGTGTGTGTGTGTGTGTCTGTGCCCTTCAGTGTGTATGTGTGTGTGTGTCCTTCAGTGTGTGTGTGTCCTTCAGTGTGTGTGTGTGTGTGTGTGTGTGTGTGTGTGTGTTTTTCAGTGTGTGTGTGTGTGTGTGTCCTTCAGTGTGTGTGTGTGTGTTCTTCAGTGTGTGTGTGTGTTTGTGTGTGTCCTTCAGTGTGTGTGTGTGTTCTTCAGTGTGTGTGTGTGTCCTTCAGTGTGTGTGTGTGTGTGTGTGTTCTTCAGTGTGTGTGTATGTGTGTCCTTCAGTGTGTGTGTGTGTGTGTGTGTGTGTGTGTGTGTCTGTGCCCTTCAGTGTGTATGTGTGTGTGTGTGTCCTTCAGTATGTGTGTGTGTGTATGTGTGTCTGTGCCCTTCAGTGTGTATGGTGTGTGGTGTCCTTCAGTGATGTGTGTGTTCCGTTCCAGTGTGTTGGTGTGTGTTTGGTGTTTTTTTTCAGTGTGTGTGTTGTGTGTCCTTCAGTGGTCTGTGTGTTCTTCAGTGTGGTGTGTGTGTGTTTGTGTGTGTCCTTCAGTGTGGTGTGTGTGTGTGTGGGTTCTTCAGTGTGTGTGTGTGTCCTTCATGTGTGGTGTGTGTGTGTGTGTATGTGTGGTCCTGCACGTGTGTGTTGTGTGTGTGGTGTGTGTGTCCTTCAGTGGTGTGTGGTTGTGTGTCCTTTGTGTGTGTGTCCTTCAGTGTGTGGGGTGTTCTTTTCTGTGTTGTTGTGTGTGTGTGTCCTTCAGTGTGTGTGTTGTGTGTGTCCTTCAGTGTGTGTGTGTCCTTCAGGGTGGTGTGTTGTCGTGTGTGTGGTGTGTGGTCCTTCAGTGTGTGTGTGGTGTTGTGTGTTCTCCAGTGTGTGTGTGTGTGTGTGTGTTCTTCAGTGTGTGTGTGTTTGTGTGTGTCCTTCAGTATGTGTGAGTTCTTCAGTGTGTGTGTGTGTTCTTCAGTGTGTGGTGTGTGTGTGCCCTTCAGTGTGTGTGTGTGTGTGTGTGTGTGTTCTTCAGTGTGTGTGTGTGTGTGTGTCCTTCAGTGTGTGTGTGTGTGTCCTTCAGTGTGTGTGTGTGTGTGTCCTTCAGTGTGTGTGTGTGTGTGTGTGTGTGTGTGTGTGTTCTTCAGTGTGTGTGTGTGTGCCCTTCAGTGTGTGTGTGTGTGTGTGTGTGTGTGTGTGTGTGTGTGTGTGTGTCCTTCAGTGTGTGTGTGTGTGTCCTTCAGTGTGTGTGTGTGTGTGTGTCCTTCAGTGTGTGTGTGTGTGTGTGTGTGTGTGTGTGTGTGTCCTTCAGTGTGTGTGTGTCCTTCAGTGTGTGTGTG